GGGGGGGGGGGTGGACAGCAAGAATGGTGATGGTTTTATGTGCCCAAGCCAGAAAAATCTGCAATATTATTGTTGCATTTTGGAAGCTTCATATTGGGTTTTTGTTAGAGTATCTGAAAGAGTAATTTATTCTCAATCAACTCAGCCAATATAATGTAAGGTAAAGAAGCCTTAGATGGGAATTTAGGTCTTATGTGATCCCCTTTGGGACAACATTAACATTTTTACTTGAATTGATAATACAGCAGATATGCAAGAGCTTCTAATATGGTATCTATATCTATATGGTGCCTGCATAAAATTTTACATTGTTAAGACCATGCTGTGTTTTTGAGTGCAAGTTTTCATTAAAAAAAATAATCATGTAATCACTTTTGTCACAAACTATGCCTTGGATTACACTGTGCCCTACTGCCTTCTGAGAAAAGTGATCATTTATGGTTGTAAGACAAATTCATTTATATTATGCATCCAAAAATCAATCTAGTTATTTAGCTCCTTTTCTTTTTTTCTGCAGATCATTGAGATTTTGAAGCTGGTTAGGAGGGAATTGAGTGGAGAATCTATTAAAACAGTTTGATCTGCTTGTTCAGTTGGTAAGCTTCGAAAGTGGGAAGTCTTTTACTACTCCTCTGTAGGGGATGAAGAAAAATGCACTGAAAACGTGATGAAATTTTGTTGATTAGATCTCAATTTGATAAAATATATATATTTAATTATCATAGATATGCAGCTGTCTTTTCTTTTTAGTTTGGATTTCTCTCAACCTATCCACAATTTCAATTTTGTAAACAGATGGATGGCATGCATGATTTCTCTTTTTGACGCCTGCCTTCTATATCTCATATGGTATAACCGCATTGTGGTGAGAGATCATGGCCATGCAGTTTTGTTTATGCTAAAACAGAGAAAATTCCAGTTTATCAGCACCAAAGAGAAAAACAGAAAAAAAAAAAATTAATAATAATAATACTGTATAGTTGGAGATCTGGAGAGATGCAAAATTGTTGTAATGGTTTTGTCTAGGCGGGTTCATGGAGCATGGGACAGGAACGACTCAAATTATTTTGCCTTGTTCCAGGGTTAGCCTTCATAGTTATGAGTTTCTATATTTTATGGTATAGATGTATACTTGTACGGTGTTTGAGCCAAAAGGTTCATTTCTGTTCTTGGTGGACTACGGTACTTGTGATATATTTCCCAACATTTTTGTTTTATGCGTCACGGTTAATTTTAGTTTGGTTTAGCTGTCAAAATTTCATATGCTTAATAGTTATTGTTTATTATAATTTAAACTCTCTTTTTGTTCTATTAGAGACAGATAAACTAAAAAAGTTTGTTTAATTTATGCTTTTAAAGATATATTTATTGTATATTTTTTTCTTTACTTGTTATAAAAAAAAAAAAAAAACCAAGAATTAATTATAATTTTATCGCCCATCCTACTAAAATTATCCAAGTGTCACTAGCCTTAAAAATAAAGAATTTTTTTTATATAAAAAACAATGAAAAAATAAGTATGGTAAATGTGCTTTCAATATATACCTAAACTCACTACTTTAAAAAATCATTTTAAAATGCACCGCCATTGTTGCATTTGTCCTAACACCTGTATGGAAAACATAAAAAGGAGCATAAGTTGAAGGGTCGAAGACTTAAAGCAATTCAATATTTCAAGGGAATAAAAAAAAGAGATTGATTACATGCATTCATGCATGATGAATTAATTTGGTCAAATTTCGGGAGTGCTTTAAGATGGCTTCCTGAAAAAAGAAGCATAGGTTGGGAGGTACACAAATGGCCCTTAGGAAGGGTACTCCATGGTACGGAGTAAGTAGAAAACAAGTCTCATCAGCATTTTTAGTAGTAGTAATGGTAGTAGAAACAAAAAGGGGATAGTTTTGGAATTCCAAGAGCATAACTGCAATGTTCATCTTCTGCCAGACAACCGCATGTGACCCACCTCACTAATAATGGACTCTCATCTCTGGCATCATTGTTTATTACAGCAAAAATCATTATTATTTTTTAAAGTGCAGCTGTAGTTGTAATTAGTTGTAAGATTCCTGGCTCCTTTTTGAAGAAAACACACAATGCAAAGATGAAGTGAACATTTACAATCTGTTTCCAACAACATCCTATGTTTTAGATAACCTTATCACCATTTTTCTAGTATTTTCTCTGGATTTCACTCCTGCAGGTAGGCAAGTTGGGTATCTTTCAATCATTTTCCGTTCCATTGTCACCTGTGTGTTTGCTCTCTTGCCACCGTTTCTATCAGATCTGCAAAGTAATTGCTACTATTGATTGGGGAAAATCTTCTAAAGTAAAGGCTTCAGGTGGGTTTTTCTTTGCTGAACTCAAATTCCCAGATTGTTCATTGAGGGTCTATTGAATTTCTGCTAGAAAAGGAAATCAATGCTGCTGAGATATCTTGAAAGTTTCTTGCTTTTTCTATAGTTTGATGTATAGAAACTTCTGCTGCATTTCTGGGAAATTAAGTAGTTCACTTCAAATCTTGGTTGATTCTTCCTGTTGAACTAGGAATTTGCGCCCCTGTTTGGTCTTTCTTCAAAACAACATAGAAGAGGAAAAAAACTCTAGGTTTTGGGGCCAAGTGATAATGGAGAAGGTCCATGGCAGTTTTGCCTTCAATATACTCTTCCTTGTTTTATCTATGTCTCTAAGAAGCGGAGACGCTCAGTCAAAGTCTTTTCTGATAAATTGTGGTTCAAATTCTAGTGTCAATGTGGGTGATAGGAAATGGGTTGGCGACTTGGCACCGAATAACAATCTCACCCTTAGTTCTTCTCCTGGTACCGCTGCCACCACTTCTACATTGGATAGTGATTCAACCTATGCGCCACTGTATAAATCTGCCCGAATTTTCACTGATGGATTGAATTACACATTGGAGGGAATCCAGGGAAGCTACTTTCTTAGACTCCATTTCTGTCCCTTCCCTTTTGAGAATCATGATGTTAATGATTCTTCTTTTGATGTCATGGTGAATGGCCTAAAGCTTTTATCGCAGTTGGATGTTCCTGGTGAGATTGAACACAAGAATATGTACCTCCAGAGTTCAGGAGGCAATGACAGTTCAATCTCTTTGATCAAAGAGTACATTTTACCAGTCAATTCAGATGTCCTTGTGCTTGAATTCATCCCAACACAAGGGTCATTTGGTTTCATTAATGCCATAGAGATTGTCCCTGTGGTTGGGAAGCTTTTCAATGATTCTGTCAATAAAGTGGGTGGAAACTCAGCAACTCTGAATTTGAGCGGAAGAGGAATTCAAACCATGTATAGACTGAATGTTGGGGGTCCTGAGATTGATCCAAATCAGGATCCAGATCTTTGGAGAATGTGGGAGGTGGATTCAGGCTATATGATCACAGCAAATGCCGGGGTTGAAATAGGAAACAGTTCTAACATCACCTATGCATCAACAAATGATACCCCAGTGGCTCCTCTTCTTGTGTATGAAACAGCTAGAGCCATGTCCAACACTCAAGTCTTGGAGAAACGGTTCAACATGTCATGGAAGTTTGAAGTGGATCCGGATTTTGATTATTTGATCCGCTTGCATTTCTGTGAGCTGGAGTTTGATAAGGCAAACCAGAGGGTTTTCAGAATTTATATAAACAATCAGACCGCTGCAAATAATTTCGATGTTTTTGTGCGGGCAGGTGGGATGAATAAGGCTTACCATCAGGACTACATGGACTCCACGTCTTCAAAAGTTGACACCCTTTGGATTCAACTGGGTCCTGACACAGCAGCTAGTGCTTCAGGAACTGATGCTCTCTTGAATGGACTGGAGGTTTTCAAGCTAAGCCGAAATGGAAATCTTGCCCATGTGGAAAGATATAGTGATGAGGATTCAGATCAAAATTCAAAATCTTGGGTTACTTGGGTCAGCATTGGTGCAGGCATAGCAACCATTGCTGTTCTTGCAGCTATATTTGGTCTTGTGTTTTGTTTCTACAAAAACAGGAGGAAAGGAATAAGCGACATGAAGAACAACACTCCTGGATGGAGACCGTTATTCCTTCATGTTAATAGCACTAATAATGCTAAGGGGTTGATTGGAATCCATAATCCAAATGGACCTTTGACCTCCACTGGAGTTGGTAAGAGGTTTACTCTAGCAGAGATTTGTGCAGCAACTAAGAACTTTGATGAAAGTTTAGTGATTGGTGTGGGAGGCTTTGGTAAAGTGTACAGAGGAGAGATTGAAGATGGGTGCCTTGCTGCAATTAAGCGTTCTAATCCCCAATCTGAGCAAGGCCTGGCTGAGTTTCAAACAGAAATTGAAATGCTTTCGAAGCTCAGGCACCGGCATTTGGTCTCCTTAATTGGGTTCTGTGAAGAACAAAATGAAATGATACTGGTTTATGAATACATGGCAAATGGCACTCTTAGAAGTCATCTGTTTGGAAGTGGTCTTCCTCCTTTGACTTGGAAGCAGCGACTGGACATATGCATTGGTGCTGCTCGGGGACTGCATTACCTTCACACAGGAGCAGAAAGGGGAATCATCCACAGGGATGTTAAAACAACCAACATCTTGTTGGATGAAAATTTTGTCGCAAAGATGTCTGATTTTGGGCTGTCAAAAACTGGTCCTCCTCTAGAGCATACTCATGTTAGCACTGCAGTGAAGGGGAGCTTTGGATATCTGGATCCTGAGTACTTCAGGAGGCAGCAGCTAACTGAGAAATCCGATGTCTACTCATTTGGTGTGGTACTGTTTGAAGTTGTCTGTGCCCGGGCTGTTATAAATCCCAGCTTGCCAAAAGATCAGATCAATCTTGCAGAATGGGCAATGAAGTGGCAGAGGCAGAGGTCACTTGAAACTATTATTGACCCACATCTGAAAGGACACTACACTCCAGAGTCATTGGAGAAGTTTGGAGAGATTGCAGAAAAATGTCTTGCTGATGAAGGAAAGAACCGACCTACCATGGGGGAAGTTTTATGGCACCTGGAGTATGTGTTGCAACTTCAGGAAGCATGGGTTCGGAACAACTCTACAGAGAATTCCTTTTCGTGCAGTCAGGCCTTGGGGGATGTAGAGGAACTAGAAGTAGAAGCAGAAGCAGAAGCTAAGCAAGAATCCACCAGCTTCAGTGGAATGTCTAAATTGGAGGGTAGCAAATCAGATACTGGAGCTGGGTCTCCCAGTCAGCTCACCTAGATGATCACCTGAGCACTATGATTATTTCTAAATTACAGTGTTTTATAGATTGAAATTCTTTATATTTGCTCCATTGAACCTGCACTTTCCTGTTGTAAGATCCATGTTAATCTTATATAGTAGTAAAATTCGTTCTTTTATTCATAATTCAAGAAAAGCTGAAGCATCTCATAAGAAACAAATTTTTGACAAAGAAGCACCTATTCAAGTGTATGGTGCCATACTTCAAATTCAAGTCGACAAAAAATACCTAATTTATTTCCTTATTGTCAATTATTAGTTTTGAGGTATGTGAGTAAACTACTTAAAAAAATATCCTAATTAAAAAAAATTAAATTTAGAGAGTATTGAAGAGTTGACCCAACATTGATTATAATTTTAATAAGATTTTAAAAATGGATATAAACAATGAAAATTCACTCATAAAATCACTTGCTTGTGAGCTAATTAGATTATAACATGTAATATTAGTGTCACAAGCAAAGATAATAACATTTTTTTTTATTTTTTGTTTTCCTTTGGGGGTTTTTTTTTTTTTTACACCTCTTTTTTTTTTTCTTTTGTGTATTATAGTGTTTTTTTAAGATAGTTTCTCAAAATTTTAAGTACAAAAACAGTAAAATAACACAACAAAAGCATTAGAACTCGTAAATTTACCCAAACAAAGAGTTAACTACTAACCACTGTATACAGTTATACACTTGTTTCTGAAACTGAAAGTTGGATACGGGTTGGATTCCGGGGTCGGGTCGGAAAAATAAAACGTCGTCGGTTCACTTGACGCTGTGACAGGGTGTCGGTGCACATAATAGGGTGGGCCCACAACGAGAGGTTCTTCTCTTGAAACCAGCCTGTCCTGACATAATTCTCCAAAATGTCATTACCAAATCACACCGTTCATCACCGTCGGATCCAATCAAACAAGTTGGCAAATATAATCACCGCCGACACACCGTAGCACACACTCCTTGAAAAAGACTCACCATCTCCCCCTCCTTAATTCTCTTAAAACTCTTCCTCCACACTTTCTCTCCTCAGAGAAAAATTCCACAAGTAAAATCATCGAATCTTGTTGCCGACAACAATGGCGATGAACAGGGCCATCGCTCTGGTCTTTGTGGTGGCGGTGCTGGCGAATCTGGCGGTGATTGCGAGTGGGGATGATAAGAAGATTCTGGTGAAGACGGTGAAAGGGAAGAAGGTGTGTACGCAGGGGTGGGAGTGTTCCTGGTGGTCGCAGTACTGTTGCAATCAGACCATATCGGATTTGTTCGAGGTTTACAATTTCGAGGAGCTGTTTTCCAAGAGGAATTCGCCGGTGGCGCATGCGGTGGGGTTCTGGGACTACCAGTCTTTTATTCTCGCCGCAGCTAAATATGAGCCACTTGGTTTTGGGACCACTGGAGGGAAGCTTATGCAGAAGAAGGAGATTGCCGCTTTTCTCGCTCATGTCGGCGCCAAAACTTCTTGTGAGTATTGTGTATTTCTTTTTTTTTTTTAATTTTATCCATTGTGAAGTTCAGTGCGCATTTGTCTAGATCTAGCAACTCTCAGGTATAGAAATTCTGTTTGGCTGCTAGGAAAGTGGTAGGAACTGAGAAAATTTATAATTTGATTCTGGGATTTTTTTGGGCCACAATTTTTATTTCCAAAATAGCTCTCTTAAGAACAATCATTTTAGATTTGGTAAATGGGATGATCTTGCAAATATTAATGGTCTGTCTAATCTATTGTTTCCATTGTATCTCGTGAGAATGGATTATGGATTTGATACCTTCAATTGCTTGTTCAATTCTTACTTCTTGTGCGGGTAAGCCTGACTTTGCATCAAATAATGTGCAAGGAAATGAATGAGAGGTTAATGTGAAATTTCATTATTAATATTATTGATGTGAATCTTAAGATAGTGTTTACTGTGTTCCAAGTTAGAAATGATTGTAAATTGTTGCTTAAGCTATTGACTAAAGAGTTAATTTTGGGATTTCTGTTGATGTTAACAGGTGGTTATGGAACGGCAACAGGAGGACCCTTGGCTTGGGGCCTCTGCTACAATCACGAGATGAGCCCCAGCCAGATATACTGTGATGACTCCTACAAGTACATCTTTCCATGTAGTCCTGGAGCTGAGTACTACGGACGTGGTGCCATACCAGTCTACTGGTATGTGTTCTTTTATTCTGCTATGATTAGACATTTAACATCTTTTTTACCTAAAATTTTCTTTATATCTGTTTAGACCAATTCTACTGTATAAGGTGAGAAGCAGGTAGTCTGACTAAATGATTCATGGGAAATCTGAGAACTATCTGTGGTGAGAACAGTTAGCTGGTTGGTCATATCCATCAAGCCAGCAAAACCCACCTGGAATGGAAAATTTTGGGTGTTTCACTTAATTTCTTATCTTTGTTAGTTAGGGAAAACAAACCTAAAAAGATAATGGGAAAAAGACGAGAAAGCCTTACACATACAGGTTGGTGTTGGTTGTCCATCTTATGCCTGTGATGTTACCCTTCAACAACCTTATTTCCAGGGCAGTTTTTTTTCCAATAACCTTTCATAATCTATAAGCTGCTGCTTCACTTCTCAACTCACTTTCACATCTATGAACTCTGATCTTGGAAAGGCTAGTGGACGTTGAACAAATTGATTCCGTTTCTTTTGGATGCATGCTTAGGCTCATGCTTTTTCATACTCGAATGATTGTAGCTAGGTTTCCTGTGGTTCCCTAATATTTTTAATGCATAGGGTACACACACACAATACAAAATGTGAGAATTAATGACCAATTTCATCTCTATTTTGTTTGTTGTTTCATCTATTCACCCTATTCTAAAAAAAAAAAAAAAAAAAAAAAAAAACTGTAAATAAGTACATAGGTATACTCTTATCTTTCTTGCTTGATATTGAAAGAGAGTCCATTTGAAATTTTGCATGACAGAAGTTGCGAAAGCAATTGTCCAACAATAAGGGGGTTGGCCCAAACAAGACAAGGGGAAATGAAATTGTTTTCTTTTTTCTTATTTGGTTGGTGTCAAGGTTGAATGAGAATGTCTTTTCTTACATATTTAATTTAATTTAATTTATTATTGATTTAAATATTTGATTTAATTTATTATTGAGTCACTGGAAAATAAACTAGATTGAGGTATCCATACAATTCTCTACTGTTCAACCACTTCCTCCTATTTGTAAAGTACTTCTGAAGAAGTTTTGCTCGGTTATGTGCTTGGTCAAAAAACAAGGACATTACATGTTTAATGGACATGTTGAAGAATTTTTCACTTTTACATCTGTCTCCTTGATAGTTTTCTGAATGAGGTTAGCAAGTGATAGCAGGCTTATATAATTAAGTTGCTGAAAGTGTTTGTGTTGTGCTTGTATCATAGGAACTTCAACTATGGGTACACTGGGGAAGCATTGAAAGTGGATCTGTTAAACCATCCTGAATATTTAGAGCAGAATGCTACCCTTGCATTCCAAGCTGCAATCTGGAGGTGGATGACCCCGATGAAGAAGTCACAGCCTTCAGCCCATGATGTCTTGGTTGGGAACTGGAAGCCAACCAAGAATGACACCTTGGCCAAGCGAGGCCCTACGTTTGGCACCACCATGAATATTCTTTATGGAGATTATACTTGTGGCAACGGTGATATCGATCCCATGAACACCATCACCTCCCATTACTTATATTATCTTGACCTGATGGGTGTAGGTCGAGAGCAGGCAGGGCCCCATGAAGAGCTCGGTTGTGCAGAACAGCAAGTATTCAACCCATCATCTTCTCCCACTGCATCATCTTCTTGAACATCGTGTGTTGTGTTAGATAGCCAATTATATTGCCACACAGCCTTTCTGAAGTAAAATCCGTTAATAATAGTTGGGCAAATGAATTGCTTGTAAGGTCATTTCCAGCATCTGTGTGAAAGCTTCATTATAGGGTGATTTATATTTCCTTTTTGCTGCTGTGTACATCATAATATTCATTGTGTGTAAAATCTGTGTTCTTGAAATGAACTGTATGAACTATTATCTCAGTCAATGCCTTTCGTTATTGTGTGTGTACTCCTCTTGTTGTTGTTGACCTAGGAGATTATTGATTTTTATGTTGAATTCGTATTCTTGAGCTTGGAGAGAATATATCTTAAATAATATAACCGCGAAAGCATCGATCCATAGGTAAATTTATGGGCAAACGGGACCAAAACTGATGGTAATATTTTAGGAGGCAAAAAGCCCCATTTTTATTAACAAATAGCGGAGGACTCGGAGGACTCAATTGAATTAAAGATCAAAGACAATACTTATTTAGATACAGCAGCAGGGAAGTTTAAAACTGACCCCTGCTTGAACTTTTGGTTTAGGAAATAATTTCCAATGGTCTACCTAATTAAACTCATCTTTTCCAGAGTAATGATGGCGGAAAACACAGGAGAAGTCCTCGATTTCATGGCCATCCTTGCAAATCTCTGCATATCTGCAAAAATAGGGTGCATTCAAAGCATGATATGAGCGACAGAATAACTAAAGAATGCAGTCCGTAGCTGCATTGACTTGGGATTTTGTTACATCTAACTCGTTCAAGGTTTGGTTCATGTTGGCTATGTTACTTACATTTCCTGGGCTTGGGACATCAGTGGAAATTTAAGACCGACCTCTTTGGCTGATGCTACAGCAAGGTTCAAGTCTTTAGCCTGCATATACATGAAAACATAGCTAGAATGAGTGACATCCTTCATCAAAGCAAGATATGCAGAAAAAGAACACATATATGGTGGGTTTTAAGGTGATGAAAACACTGCATGGAAGAAAATGAACATCAGACTCGCACTTGTTCAAGCCTCTAATGTAAAATCTTCTACTGAATATACAAATGCAAATGTTCAAGTGCATAAGTACAGGCAACACAGTTGCACAGAGTGCAAATGGAAGACAACAGAGTACAATATTAGTCTAAACAAGATGTTGTCGCAAGTTCAAAAATGAATGTAGTATTTTCCATATACCTGGTCACCATAATTACATTCCACTTTTCTATTCTGCAGTGGTAGTTGATTTACTTACTGGAAATAATTCAAAATTAAACATTGGAGCCACATCTTGCAGTGCACTTAGAAACCTTAATAGATATCAAGAGAGAAGACTTGAACAAATATGCAATACATATTTATTTTCAAACTGATAACAGCATGCGTAAATGCATAAGACCATCTGATAACAGATACCAATCATATTCAAGCTTCAAAAGGTTTCCAACAGTTGTAGCAATCTAATGCAAGGCACAGTTTAGGTGTTAAAGTGAGATTCAGCTGAGAATGAAATCAATTGAATCAATTTAAGGTTGATCACAGGCGAGATCAATTCTGTTGAAATGACAGAGAACTTATAATACTAAGCAATTGCTCCTGAACCATGGGAACCTAGCACCTAAATGTCTCAACCAACATAATAAGCTTATTTTGCTTGAGGAACTTGTGAATCAGACCTGTCCTTTGATTAGAGCCTCATTATTTTGGCCTTAAATCATATATATTCATAACCTAGGGACTTACTTGACTCCAGCCACTGGATCATCAACCCTAACTTATCCCAATCTGCCCTTGTGATTTGGTAGACCACGCCACTTTTTCACATGGCTCAAGACCTCTCATTTCCTAAGTTGCTAAAGAGCAGACCAGAGAGTGAATTGCAATCTCCTTGATTAGTGAGGATGATTTAAAGAGGATAATGTGCTTCATTTATTTTAATGCTAACATTACCTCCCAGAGATGTACCGAATTGAACTTGGTGAAGCATGGTAGAAGACAATAGATTTCTCGGAAGCACCATATACATTGAAATTTTAGAAAACAGATATAACCACTTACCATAAGTTTGGATGCAAAACCACCAGTATAATTCCTTGAAGAAGGCACCCCTTCCATCACTCCAGGAACTGGATTATAGCTGTCACTGTCACATAAATCATGTTCTTAGCATACAAAAAACCATGCAACAGGTAAAACTTTACCCAGTAAGAGATGCTTCTTAATTAGTAGCACAATGAGTGAGAATATCTTACTCTACCTTCAATAAACTCTTGAATAGATAAGCATATCACATTCTGGTATTAACTTCCTCTTACCCTCCCCAATTATCACAAAAATATGTATCCAAATGACCCAAAATATCAAGCAGTTACAGAAGACATAAGGATACCATTAACACTGACTAATTAACAAGGAAAAACCAATCACTTAGTTTCTATAAGAATGACTCAAAGGAGATAAGATAAACTATTTTGTGCCTTCTTCCGCATTAATTGTTCACTATGTTTTCTGACACATGCATTCTATTATGTGTGCCTTTTCAACCATAGGTAAGAAGTCGCTTCATACTACTTATAACATTCTTTCACAGCCATCATTTGCATACTATCAAAGTTTTGGTTGGTTGAGGATGCTTTCATGTCTACTGCCAAATCACTTAGAAAAAGGCTATCAAATAACATTAGTGGGTGACATGCTAGAGAAGAACTTGATACCTACTCCAACAGCGAGCAGTTGAAGAATTAAATATCTTTGTCAGAGTACTGGCACTTATTCCTAATGACTGACCAAGAGAAAGGGCTTCAGAAACACCCAGCATACTCACAGCCATTGCCAAATTGTTGCATATCTTTGCTGCCTAAATATATATATTTCAAAAAAAAAACCATGACAAAAATATTAAATATATATATATATATAAATTCTGACAGGTCAAGAATGAAAACAGATTTCTATGATTTATCAAATGGTATGTCATTGCCTTGGATGCAATAAAAATGTCAATCTACACCATTTTCCATATTACAATATTTACAAATTATAAAGAATGACAACTGCATTTTCAAGATATATGAAGATCTAAAAACAGTTGGCTAGACTTGAGTCACCTGACTATTTAATCAAATTGTGTCTCAGACTATCAGGTCAGGATGGATCCTTTTTCTTTCTGCTTATGCCAATCTTCCAAATATGCATTTGTATTTGTTCAATTGTTTGTAGACATGAGAACACTAGAACATAATCATATTGTCCCACATCGGATTGCCTTTGCCCTTTGGAATTTGTGATGGCCAATATTTAATTTGACCTCTCCTCATATTGCCAATTGAGTTTAGTTCATACATTGTTTTTTGTTTTATTTTTCCTTTTGGCCAACTAAGGTCATACCCCTTTTTTTTTCCTTTTTGGTTGGCCATTAGGTCATACCTTGTTGATATCATAATTTACATACATAAAAGGCCTACTGTGATTCATGCAGTGATGCTTTCTCACAATCTGGCATTCTCCCTCATGTGAGATTAGCACCTAATCCAACTTTCGCTGACAAGAGAAATTAATAGAGCCTGAAGCTTAGGGGCAACGTACATAAATGACATACTGATTACTGTTTCTGCTCAGTGATCAATCAGCATAGACATTAAACTTCATGCATAAATGATATTTTTATCATTATAATAGATGATGAGTTATGTCCTCATTCTCTCATCACATCTACTAAATTCATTTAGAAGCTTAGGGGAACATAAATTGAATTACGAAAGCGTAAATGAAATAGAACTCTAAAAATCTATGCTAAGCTTATTCTCCAAATGTTATACTACCCATAGAACATGATGAGATCAAATTATCTGAAAAGAAATGAAACAAAAGGTATAGAAAACAAGAAATATCGAGTTTTTAGAAAACTTACTGAACCATTTCCTGCCCCACCACAAAAAATCGCATTTTTTCCCATAGAGAGGAGTAAAGATTTGGCAGCCAGATAAGCATCTTCAGAGCCACCTACCTGGATGACATTCCCAAAGAAAATATATGACTTGTCAACGTGAGAAAAGGAGCATAATCAGTCTAGAAGATAAATGAATTTTGAATCCATTCAAAGGATTACTAAACAGGTAAAAAAAACTGAAATCTATACATTGGAGGTGGTATGAGTTGAAACCAAACCATGAAAGTAAGTGTGCCAGCTTCCGCAGAAAGAACTCCTCCAGAGACGGGAGCATCCAGCATTAAAGGATTCTCCCAGTTATCTACAGAGAAAACATATTTATCAATCTTTGAAGTGCAAAGAAAAATGATCTAACAAGATACAAGAAAAAAATGTATTTCTTGCAAATTTTTTTATTGGCTTAATTCTTGCAAATCAAAACAACATCCTGTTCTCAAATTCACTTTTAAATGGTCATTGCCTTTCTAGTTCTAATCATTCAATTTCACAGTAATATCTTTCACAGGTAAAATCAATAAAATGGATTACCTCCTTGGAATATCACAAACCTTGCTTCAGTTTTCTCACAACTAAATCATAATCTGTTAAAAAGAAATAGTAGCAAATAAACCTCTCTGTGTTTGCATGTCTGTCTCTAAAATCTCTGTGTGAGAGATAGAGTGTCAAAAGACTAGGAAAATAATTCTAATGGCTTCCTGATTTGTCACATAGGCAGACATGCATGTCCGCAATACACAATGTTAGAATAAAACAAGAAGAAAAACCATTTCTAGTACATCGACATACTCAGATAAGTTTGAAAATTTTAAGGTTAATAAATGTGGTATGTAAAACAATGGTTTAATCATCTGTTGAATCAAAATGATGGTACCTTTCTTTTCTTTCAAAGTGCAAGAAGCCACTTTAGCAGAGAGCTTCCTTGATGTTTGCGGATCAATGGTTGATGAATCTATTAATAGATGTGGTCTTAGGGGACTCCTTTCATCAAGTAAACCATTTGGTCCCATGTAAACATCCATAACCTACACAAATCAGATAAAATGATCTTTCCAGTGAATGGCGCTAGAACCTCAGAAGTTATAAAGCAAAAAAAAAAAAAGAAGAAGAAGAAGCAATATTTACGCATATCTGCTAAATTCAAACTAGAAACCAAGTTCTCAGATATCTAGGTACTTATTAAATGGAAACTTAAGCAAAAAAGTCCACAATACAAACGCAATACAATCTCCCAATGCTTCCTGTATGTGATTTCTGAAATAAATGTCAAGTTCAACGGAATTTAATGTAAGTAGTCAGCTCAAGTCGTCTTCTGACAGTTTCCTCTTTGACAATACCTGCTAATTTCTTTTACATAATAATCAAGCCCAAGTTACTTGGTGAAGAAATCAGAATACGAAAGAGATCTAATAAGCTAGAGGGCATCGGGTAAATTGAGAAATTTCCTAAAATATTTTAGAACTGAATAACAAAACAATATAAGGCCAAACTGATAACCCTAAATTTCGTATAGAGCAACATAAATGTTTTTAATCAAGTTTACAAAGAACTATGAGTTAAGTTACACACTCTAAAACAAATAAAACTGCTATATCTCCAGCTTCAAACTAAGTTCCTCAGATCTGGCGAGCAACTGAATCATTCTATCTGTCTAAAGTCGTTAAGAACAACTGCCTAGTGATAGCCAAAACTCTGTAGCAAAAATGATAGAGATGATAAAACTACCTTCAACATGATGTAATATAATACGTATGGCCACACTAGAAAACCATTCACCCAATGAAAGTAAAAAGAAAATGAAAAAATTTTAATAGAGGATGAAAGGAAATGTAGCCATCACACTCACATGATTTGATGAAGGCAGCATAGTAATTACTACATCACTTGCCTCTGCAACTTCAAAAGGTGTTTCTTTTGAGGGAACTCCCACGTTAGTAAACATCTTTGTGACATTATGGTTTCTGAATTAAAACCAAACTTTCAAATTGGATTCAAAGAAGAGATGTGCATGGTCTACTTTTATAAACAGAAGAGCCTAAATGGCAAAAAGAATTGAAATTGGTACCACGAAATCTGTATTGATATCAATTGGTATTATGTGTAGCATATTAACATATCAACTTAGAACTGATGGAATTGAACGAAAACACAAGCATATGAATTATATACAATGAAATTAACCATTTGCTATAAATTTGAGAAAATCATTTAAAAGTATTACACATCATGAACAGTAAGCTTGTATCCAGCCTTGAGTAGATTTGAAGCCATTCTCGACCCCATGTTTCCAAGCCCTATGAATCCAACATTCTGCAATACAATTACAACACTTTTATGTTAGGATAAAGCATCACAATGAAATAGCATAGAAAAACAAAACTCGCTATCCTTTCTACTATTAATCCTAAATGCATACATGGAGAAACGGGCCTCATCATATCAACCAAGAATCTGACAGGGAGATAGAAAGGTAAAAAAAAAAAAAAAATCAAAGAGGAAAAGTCATACCATCACCATCCATTTCAGAAGAAACAGAACAAAGCTTCATCATGCTTGAATTCGGAGCTCAAAGTAACCGAAACTAGCGGTTTCAATCAAAGCATACAAAACATATGCTAAAAACCATTTTCAGTTTTGTCATATGGGGTAGCTTAATAATTTTTTAGTTCTTAATTTGATAGAACCAAAAAATTTTCCCTCCATTTCCCTCAGACCAAAGGGGGTCTAAAGAGCAATTTAATTGAAGAAAGAACAAAATTATTAAATCCCATCAGTTTTATCGGACACCCAGTTGAGAAATTGTGGTGAGGAGCTCAAGGCCTCAAAAGAAATTTCAAAGCAAATATCTTTTCAATGAAAAAGAAATGTCAAAAGCTTAGAAGAAGAAAACGAACCTCAAACTGGGATGAAAGTGGTGAGGAAGAGAATCTGCGCATCGTATAGCATGGAAAGGGAGGAGAAATGAGGGAATATTTACGTTTGGTAAGAGGGAGTAGAGCTCTCACTCTGCCCAACGCCATTGATAATGTCACAAGGTGGTCTGTACAGAAGACACCAATAGTTCGTAGTTTCTTGTAGGAAAGAGCTTGTTTTTTCAATATTGTTTTGAGTTACTTCAATTATATGGATGGATTAAATACTGTACTAATGGGTTAGGTTGTACCACTGGAAGAAAAGACTGACTCATAGCCACATCTCAAATTCTTAGCATGTCATCTTAGGTAATCTCCAATGGCAGTCTCCCAAATGAGTCATTTAAGCTGATGGCATGTTTGGTAAGTGGTCCGTTTTAATAGAAATGTTTTTAATGAGAAAATGTTAATTGAGAAAGTTTTGTAGAAAACTTTAAAAAGTTCTATAATAAAATTTTATTATTATATCTAATTTTATTAAGTTAATATTTTTTTTTTTATATTTG